GAATTCACTCCATTCCAAACTTCCAGCCTGGTAAATGGGACCCTAAAGTCGCCCAGCAGCCAACTCCCTCGGGTCCCATCTGCCAGGCTTTGAACCATGGGAGACGGAAACTTTTGCTCTATAACAGCTCCTTTGCAGATCTGAAAGAATGACAGAGTCTGACTCTTTTAAAGTTGGACTTAAGACAGTCTTAAGGCTGTCTTAAGTCAATTTACTCGCTAATTTTATTCATGTGGTTTAGTTGTGGTACTAAAGATTCCTTGAAATTAGAATAGATTATAAATAAAAATTGTTACCATGTGCATCTGAAATAAAACAATGAAATAAAACAATGTTTTAATAATATTCTAATTTATTGAAAGGGTCTGTGTAATAATTATCTTGGGAATCAGAATAAGACATAATTTAGTCATTATCTTAACTGTTAATAATTTAAAGGGGTAATTAATTTGGCTGTGGAAATGTAAAAAGAAAAGTCTTGAAATACATGTGGATTGTAAAGTTTCAGCAAGCTTTCAAGCAGCAGATGATTAAAAAGTGAGTTTCAGAGAGATTTCTGTCTTAACCTGTGTACCATCAGTCTGACAGTTAGTTGTGCCAAGATAACTAAATGTCCTTAAAAAGTCTAGTCTGACACATTTTCATTTCTACCTTTTAACTATTGCTCAAGTATTAAGTAGGTTTTTCTTGTAGCCTTTTGCTATTTCTAATTCAAACAAGACTTAACAAAATAGAATTCTCTCCTGTTCCCATTTCAAGAGTTGGTAGGAAATATCGGCCTATTTCATATTTTAAAAAAAGAAAAGAAAATAACTATTCATAGATTATTTTTATCAGTAACTTTAAATATGCTTTCACTATCTCTAAAAGAGAAAGAACATTAAATGTGTAATAACTGGGAGTCAATTAGTGTGCCACTGATAACCTTATTCAAAAGCAATTATTTCCTACCATGACATTGTTTTTATTTTATTTTTTTTTTTTTACATTTAATACATTTCCCAAAATTAAAAGTAAAGTTTATGAAGTTTTTTTCTTATATTAGACTATTGCAGTTAAAAACAATATTTTATTTCAAGGCAGCAATTCTCAAATTGATCAAATCAGGCACCACCTCAGCTTCTTCAGCTAGATGAATTGTATTATATATAAAAAAAATTTGATAAAACTAAGCAAAGCTTTAACATTTAATGGTATTTTACGATCAGTTAAAGATTTCAGAAATATTACCCAGATATAAAGTGGAAATAATTAACATAAAAGTGTCATGAAAGCAAAATCCTCATGTCTGATACAATGAAATCCTCATCATCCAAAATACCTGCCTTTAATCCAATCATATTCGGTAAATTATAATAATTTGAGATTTAATTATAAATTTGGAAGATGTTTCATTAAGCCCACATCTCTACAATGAAATTTCTTTTTAAGCTGATGTTATATTTGAATGCTTAAAAATCAAAACTAAATTTGAGTCTTTCACAAGCTATAAACAGGAAAACCTAAAAATTTAAACACATTGATGTAACTAATCAATAAAAAAAATTAAGTTCATGAATTTAGCAACTAAAATAATTTATCTATTACATTTTGCTTTAATTATCTACTTTAATGACTAAGTCAAATTCCACTATCACAGTAAAAACCATGGATAAATTATTTATAACTTATTTTCACTTTTATTAAATCTCTTTACTCTATTTTTCAAGACTGATGTGCTTGATGTCTTTTTTGCAGCTAAATTGATCACGTTTATTTTACACATTACTGAGACAGATATCTTTTCTTTCCACCACTGAAGGCTGCCCAAGTTTTTTAAATGCTATTTTTGGCTATAGTTGTTGGGGTTTTGCACAAGTTGGTAACATTTAGACAGTACTGTTTATTATTTTGATCACTTTGTAATTGTTTCAAGGCTTTGTGAAGGTTCTTTTCTTAGGCTCTACATAAGTATTTTTTACCCTACTGAGTTAGGCAATAAAAAGGCACCCAATCACAAACGGTAAACCCATGTTGGATCACACAAGGGTTTGTATATTTTACTGCAACACACAAATTGGTACCAAACCCAGAATCCAGAATATACCAGATTTTCTCTATATCTTTTTTTGTTTTATTAATGAGCTGCTCTTATCTACTCTTCCCTGTTGGTATTTTATTACAAATAGGATCAAATTAATCACAACAAGAAACATCTCCCTTACAACTGTGGAGAGAAAGGGTCTCTTTGTTTTGTAATGTTGTTTTGTACATGCACAGGCAGGCACAGCCATAAAAAACGTCCTCTTCCTGTGACTGAAAGAGTAAAAAGAGAGAAGATAAAATGAGAGTGAGAGGAAGAAAAAAGAAACAATACATTCATCAAGCAGCTTCTCATTGCCAACATTAAACCTGGTTCTTTACTCTCCTGTTTACTTTCATTCAGTCTAGAAAATAAAATGCTGCCTACATTTGTATACAATGAAAAATAAAAGAAAACAAACATATTTTTAAATTTATTTCAGACATCATGACAGATACATATACATTCAAAAAAATAAACATTTTTTTTCGAGCAATCAAATAACTTTATATATTCGACCTTGCACTGCAAGTCTTGTCCTGGAACATTACGTACATATTTAACATTTGGATACGTATGAAGACTTCTAACAACTAGCTTGCATTCGTTTGCCTATCCCAGGGTTCCTTTACTTAAATAAAATGCTCCTTTTAAAGACGAAACATTAATTAGCTGCCTGTAAGGTGTAGCAGCCGCATACATACATATACACTATATTGCCAAAAGTATTTGCTCACCCATCCAAATTATTGGAATCAGGTGTTCCAATCACTTCCATGGCCACAGGTGTATAAATTCAAGCACCTAGGCATGCAGACTGTTTTTACAAACATTTGTGAAAGAATGGGTCGCTCTCAGGAGCTCAGTGAATTCCAGCGTGGAACTGTGATAGGATGCCACCTGTGCAACAAATCCAGTCGTGAAATTTCCTCGCTCCTAAATATTCCACAGTCAACTGTCAGCTGTATTATAAGAAAATGGAAGTGTTTGGGAACGACAGCAACTCAGCCACGAAGTGGTAGGCCACGTAAACTGACGGAGCGGGGTCAGCGGATGCTGACGCGCATAGTGCGAAGAGGTCGCCAACTTTCTGCAGAGTCAATCACTACAGACCTCCAAACTTCATGTGGCCTTCAGATTAGCTCAAGAACAGTGCGCAGAGAGCTTCATGGAATGGGTTTCCATGGTCGAGCAGCTGCATCCAAGCCATACATCACCAAGTGCAATGCAAAGCGTCGGATGCGGTGGTGTAAAGCACGCCGCCACTGGACTCTAGAGCAGTGGAGACGCGTTCTCTGGAGTGACGAATCGCGCTTCTCCATCTGGCAATCTGATGGACGGGTCTGGGTTTGGCGGTTGCCAGGAGAACGGTACTTGTCTGACTGCATTGTGCCAAGTGTAAAGTTTGTTGGAGGGGGGATTATGGTGTGGGGTTGTTTTTCAGGAGCTGGGCTTGGCCCCTTAGTTCCAGTGAAAGGAACTCTGAATGCTTCAGCATCCCAAGACATTTTGGACAATTCCATGCTCCCAACTTTGTGGGAACAGTTTGGAGCTGGCCCCTTCCTCTTCCAACATGACTGTGCACCAGTGCACAAAGCAAGGTCCATAAAGACATGGATGACAGAGTCTGGTGTGGATGAACTTGACTGGCCTGCACAGAGTCCTGACCTCAACCCGATAGAACACCTTTGGGATGAATTAGAGCGGAGACTGAGAGCCAGGCCTTCTCGTCCAACATCAGTGTGCAACCTCACAAATGCGCTTCTGGAAGAATGGTCAAAAATTCCCATAAACACACTCCTAAACCTTGTGGACAGCCTTCCCAGAAGAGTTGAAGCTGTTCTAGCTGCAAAGGGTGGACCGACGTCATATTGAACCCTATGGATTAGGAACGGGATGCCACTTAAGCTCATATGTGAGTCAAGGCAGGTGAGCAAATACTTTTGGCAATATAGTGTATGTGTACATATAGATATGTATAAAATGCTGGACATTTCCTCTGAACCCTGGAAAAACAAAGTCGTTATTTGGGTTGGACAGTGAAATCTGGCATCTTCAGGTTGTCTCTGGCAAACTTAAACAACTGTATTATTATTATTTTAAACTAAACATTTTAAATGGGCCTAAAATCAAGGCCTTAAATTGTATATGACAAAGCTGTAGTAGATGCATCTAGAGATATTGTCGAGGATCTGGGCTGCAGATTTTGCTGTGACTGTTAGAGTTGAAAAAAAAAAAAAAAAAAAAAAAAAAACTAAAGGCACAAGTCAAAGTAACACTTTTCAATGTGAAAACTGTTATTTGAGGGAAGAACAGTCAATGTTACCTTTTGTTTTTTTGGCTAAGTAAGGTGTTTAAAAGGAAGTCAGAGGAAGCACAGAGATACATTAAGCTGTTTAAAAGGATTATAATCAGCTGTTTTCTGCAAAACATTGGAAATGTTTGCAGTTAATTCAGGCTGCAAAATAGTAAGAGAGAGACAGATGAGCAGATAACAATAAGGCTTAAAGTCATTTTGCAAAGTTCATTTTATATTTCTTCTTTTGGTAATCTTAGTAGTTAAGGCAGTAGATCCCAAACATTTCTTGGCACCCCCCCCCAAGATAAAAAAAAAAAAAAGAGTTTTTGCAAGTCTCTCCAATCAATCTTTGACAGCTAATTTAAAAACGGTAAACCTCAGTAATTAAAAATTTGCAATAAAAAAAATAATAAAAAAAAACATGCCAAAAAATAATAGTTTTGCAATTAAAATTGCAAAACTATTATTTTACGCTTAACTGCTTTTTATTGTTACGTGACTCAGCATTCAGATAAAAAAAAACATATATTTAATTAACATTTAAAAAATCTGGGGGGGGGGGGCACTGAGTTAAGGTACAGCAATACAATCTATTGTGAGTAAAAATTTGTTGCCTTAGTAATAATTTTGCTAATCACTTGCCTTTGTTTTCAAAGAACTGCTATTCAATACTCAGCATAATGTCACCTCTCCATTTGAGACACATAACCACTGCTTTCAGAAGGAAAGTTAGAGAATCATCTGGAATGCTTCTTTTACACATTCTTATGGTTCTTCAAGTGAAAAAAAAAGTCGATTTTTGATCAGCAGGTCAGAAATTCACAAAATCTGCAGGTCAGAAATTGCCCTCTCAGTTCTGATTGGTACATCTTTAATCATGAGCTATATTCTATAACCTGACAGCACTGTTCATCTGATGAACAGCATAGGTTGTGTTTCTCTGTTCTTTTTACAGTGGAGTAACTGATAGGCAGCCAGAGTTCATTCTCCCCCCAATGTCTAAGTGAAAACATGCACTTCTTAAATGTCTGCAAAACCAGTTGCTTTCTATATGTTTCTTCCAAAAACACTAAGGCTTAAAGTATCAAAAGGTTTGATACAGTCAAAATATAAAAATAGATATTTATAGATGTGTATTTCCTAAGAATAGTGGACTAAGATATCATGGGGCTATAAATAATAATAACAAACAAAAACAAAATCACATTTGGATAAAAAACCAATAAAGAATTTTTCAAATTTGGACTAAACCCCACAAAATCCAGTTATAGCACATTATTGACATTTATCCTAAAAAAAAAAAAAAGATTAGTAGCCATTAATAATTATTCCATTTCAAATTTATAAGTCGTACAAAACTAGAAGTATCCGGTTTCATCTCTAAAATGTTCATACATGTTTATATTTCAACACTGTTAAATGGGAAATATCAAAGAGTTAGGACAGGAAAATAGCAGTTGGTGACAGTGCATCAAGTATTCGGTGTAGTGAATTATGTTGTGATTTCATTTTAAAATCCCAAAGCTTTGATTCAGTTGGATGAACACGATTACTTTTCAAAAAAGTGCTTCAAAACAACATTTCTCTTTGAATCTGGAAATCTTTATAGTTTTACTGCCTCTATATAAAGCCCATAAAACAGTCAGTACTGATATTCATCTAAACTGGAACAGTGACTTGTTAAAATGCAGGAATTTAGATATAAACAATGACATCATGATGGTTTATGATTGCCTAGTATAAAATTGACTTGGTTGTATAATTCAACTGGAAAAACTGGAGATGTGGTAAATGTCTCCCATCCCACAAACAAAGCTAAGGCAGAACCTAAGAGCTTCTTCAGGGACACACTGCTGCATCATTGGTGCAGCATGGAGTGTTATTGCAGATCCTTCCTCCCTGTCAGACTCTACAGGCAACACTAATCCCGATTAATCTAGTCATTGTTTACATCCCTTCTGTCGTTTCAAACTTACAAATAGTGTTTTTTTTCTCCTCTGGATTATACATGCATGCTTTGTATTATTAATAAATGTGATTGAGTTCTTGAATTTGAGTATGCCACTGTACAGTGTTTTTTGTTTAAATATTTAAATATTTGCTCTTACTGCACAGGATCTTTTTCGTTTTTTAGATCTTTTTACCTTTATGTATATCTGAATGCTTTCAGTTGACTTTCACTTTGCAGCTAGCACATTAGAATTCCTCACTGTGGGACAAAAAGGATTTTTTTAATCTATTTATATTCTAAGACAAATAAAAAACAGAAAACTGATATCTTGTTCAAGCTCCCTTTGTTTCTATTATTGCAGTCTTCTTTAATAGGACTCACTTAGCTTACTATGTTGTAACTGCTGCCTTCTGCCTCTTGGTTGGTTTGAACTTAGGAGTGACTGCTGAAAAATCAATCAGAAGGTGCATACACAAAATAGATATTTAAGGGTGGGCACATTTGTGCAAAAACAGTTATTGCACCTTTTAAAATTCTCAAACAAACTAGTGCGTTATTTTTTTTTTCAGTTGAATTATACAGGGTTTATATTACATTAAAGGTATAGTGGAGGATATTATTTTTCCAGGTGGATCATCAAAATAAGTGGTCAATCATCCTGGTGATTTGTTTACGTAAGGCTGTCCTACGTGCTCGTCCTCAGTTAGCTATCTTTTCCTGCGTTTGCACACTTTTATGTGGTGAGCTACGGTTTCAGCCAGTCATTGAAGCTCACCTTTCTTACTGCGGTTCTTTGAAAATGGCCGTGGGTCGTGAGAGAAAAAGTGTCAACGAAGTGTAAGAGAAGAGAAGAAAGGCATCCGAAGAGAGAAACAAGACCAGAGTGTTTTTTGGAGATTCTTTCAGGCGATGGCGTGATGCCACACCGATGCCTTGGTTGCAAAGTTTCTACTCGACAGATAAAATTTGGCATGCTATTTGGAGGAATTAATTTCACATTACTGCTAATAAAAGTTATCTACCTCTATATTGTAACTTTCCAGGGAAGATAACTTATTTTGTAATTTGCATCATTAGTAGTTATAGGATGGCCAAAAATATTTTTTTATCCTGCAAACATGTCCAAATGTCCCCTGCAGCACACACACACACATATAGAAGCATGTCACGATTTTTTTAATGTACCAGTAGTCTTATTTGTGGGTAAAATTTTTATGAATAAATAAAGGTGAGATGAGATCCATCCAAGCAACTGTCTTATCATTGCGTCTCCGCACATCCTTGAGGAGGAATGGGCCCGTGCATGCTTTCTCACGCGCTTAATAAAACTTTGTACCCCTACAGGGTTGTGCATGTGCATTTGTTTTTTAAAGTGGAGAAAGCGGGTCTTTTCAAAATTTGCTAAAGTCCTCCACTATACCTTTAAGGGTGGAAACGGTTATGTCCTAAAAAAAAAAACTGTCATTAACCAATGCACTTTTGAGATCCATTGTGTATTTTGCAGTTTGTGCATTTAAAAAAATTATTGTAAGACTCCATTTGATCACATAATCGAATTATGCTTGTGTCAAAAAGTAAAAACACTTTTAAATAAATACTTTTTTCTTTTTAATCAAAATTCATTTTGATATCTTAAATCTGACATTTCTGCCATTGTCAGATAAATAACAATGATCCTATTGCCACTGATAGACAGATATGTTTCTTAGAAATGGCAAAAACCCTTCATTTCTGAAGCAATGCTACAAACAGTAAGAAGGTATAGAAAATTGGTTTTGTCAACAGTAATTTTAATAATAATTCATAGAATTAATAACTGATCCCACTAGCTTTGGTACATGTTGCCTTATTCAGGACACATTACAAAGAAAAGCTTACTGGGTTTAATACCTTAATGTGTCTTGATCTGGATATGCTTAAAACAAGAAATCGGAAGTAGCTTAAAGAATCTTCCAGAGTTTAAGAACATTTTGTTGCAGAGAAACTCTTTGGCAACAGTGCATAACTTTTGGTTTGAATGTTGAAAAATAAAAGGATTCCATGGACTTTTTTTTTTACTGCAAAAGAAATAAATGTAAACAGGAATCGTCACAACTGGTGCATGAACCGTGACTCCATAATGATTCCTTTGAAGTGAATTTTCTGTCAGGATGAGCAGCCTCATAAGTAAATATTTATTTCCCCCTTGTGGAAACTCTTGGAACAGCACATGCTGGAAATAAAAGGAAAGAAAGTGAGCTTTAAGAGTTTTTGTGTGTTGAAGACTGTGTCTCCTTTAAAGCATATAACGGTGATAGGTGCATCAAACACTGCTAATGCTTTGCCCATTAAGGCTCCAGTGCTACACTTCAGTTCAGGGTTGAAGCACTACTCAGCACTGTATTTGGGAGAAAGGATGCCTTAACAGCTCCTCTGCACTTGGTCTGTGTTTTGCCTCCACAAAGATACAGCGGATAAAGTCCCGAGCCTGGTCAGAGGCACGTGGTGGGAGCAGCGGATTGGTCGGCTGGGTGGCGATCTTGAATATCGCTGCCATGGCCTCGAATTCTGCCCATGGGGGCTTTTCTGTGAGCATCTCAACCACGGTGCAACCAAGGCTCCTGCAAAAGACATGCAAGATTATGACTGACGTAGAGAAACAAGCTGAAACAAAGATCACATATTTCATCTAAATACCACAACACCAACGTTATGAAAGAATGCCTACAGTTCATGACTCCTGCAGAGAACCTCTTTCCACTGTTGAGATTATAAAAAAGCCCTCTGGGGAGCAAAACTCTCCCTTCTACAAATGCTAAGTACAAGCTGAGTATACCTTATCTGTAATAGCCTGTTTGACTGGCATTCAGCTAAACATATCATCAGATTGCGTAACAGTAAAGCTATTTCTGTAAAAAAGTTACTTTTTCTGGGAGCTTAAATGACAGGGATATTTTGCATACTAGTTCCAACCTGCCATTCCTCTGTTTTTGATCTGTTTTTATAGCAGATCATCCTCACCTCAGTAAAGACATTTATGTTTCAGTCGGGGTTTTTTGTACTTTCGATGCAAAAAAACAAAACAAAAAACAAAACCATAAATTCCAAGTTTTTTGAACGTGTTTTTTGTAATCATCAAGGTCAACGCAGAGTAAGTAAAATACCCTAAAATGCTGCCCCAGATATGACAAAGCAAAACTATTTGGAGATCCAATCCAAGCAAAAGCCCTCTCCTTGAATAAACATTTTAAAACACATGGTCGTGTTCAACCAAAACAGCACAAACTGATGCCTTCAGAGGTCACCTAATTCATAAATACGGTCCACCTGAGTGTAATTTATTATAACATAGCCGGTTACTGAAAGCATCATGGTTTGTTAGAGAACATTATAAAATAATAGTATCATGCAGATGAAGGAAGACAGGTCAGTAGCTGAGACGACTAACGCAGACGATTAAAGCAGATTTAAAGTTATAAAAAATATTCTAAGCTCTGAGTAACCCACTGAGCTTTGTTCTATCTATCATCTTATATAGAAAGAGATATACAAATAAAAAAGTCTGAAAATATTAGCAGCTTCCTTAAATTAAATTGCCAGCCAAGAAGAGCATTAATCAAAGATGAAACCAATATACCCACAGTTACTCTGGATGAGCTCCAGAGATATACAGCTCAGGTTTGTAGAATTTGTAGTCAGCACTGTCATGATTAATTGCAGCAATGTATAAAGACAACTGAAATGACTCATAACAACCCGTATAGTGAATGTATAGGAAATTACTGTGGCTTAACACAGCACCATGACTTTCTGTTAAACCTATAGGACAATTAATTTATCCCACAGTAAGGAATATCTACTAACTGAACACCTTCTTTACCTTTTCTTCAACTTTTTGAGACACTTAACTGGGTCTCAGTGGTTTGACAATATGTTGATGTAACAATGCAGGACCATTTGGAGATGAACTCAACTGAATATCTTACCAGACATCAGCTTTCCTGCCGTAGCCCTCTCCACTGATCACCTCTGGACTCATCCAGTAGGGGGTGCCGGTCACAGATCGGATGCCGGTCCCAGACATGCAGATGGTCTGCAGCCTTTTACTGGCACCAAAATCTCCAAGTTTCACATTTCCTTCTGAATCCCGCAAGATGTTGGCACCTAAAAGCAACATTAATAAAAAATATCTTAACTATTTTCTTTTTTTTTTTTTTTTACAAACATTAGATGAATTACTGCTGATTCAGATATCTGTATATAAAACACGGCCACCTTTAATGTCTCGGTGTACAATCATGTTACTGTGCAGATACGACATTCCTTCCAGAATCTGTCTAGTGTATTTCCGAGTAACATTTTCTGTCAGAGCCCCATAAGCCTTCAGCTGATCTTTGACTGAACCCTAAAAAGATAAAAAAAAAAAAAAAAACGTAAATTAGTTAACCAAGTTTGAAGAAGAATGGAAAAAACATGGAGATATTACACAAGGATCATCAAGATCAGTTACTTTAAATGTAACCAGCAGGCCAAAGAAAGGTTTGCAGTGGCTTGCAAATGTGCCTTTACCACTTTAACTCACATTTCAGCCAAATTCTTTGGTTAAAATATGGTATATTTTTCCATTATTTACAAATATGGAAAAGCTTTTGCATATTATTGAATGTATGCAGCAGACGATCACAAAGTAGTAGATAACAGTACAGCGAAAGCAAAATGATACATCCATTAAAAAGCTTTTTACAGGAACAAATTGAAAGGTGTGGTTTTGCATCCAATACCCCTACATCACAAATCTATGTTGGTCTATTAGATAAAATCCTCATGAATAATGGATACAAATGGAAACTTATTATTTTGAAAGTTGGTGTACATATAAAAATACCTCAAATAACAGGTTTCTTATTTTAATTGCCCATTATCTTAAGGAGAAACATTTTGAGGCGATTTCTCAATCAATACATTTTCGAGAGATCAGTCATGAAAGCAGCCATAGTTTGAGACTGATCTCTGGGAGAAGCAGAATGGAGAGAAACAGAAAATCTTCTGTCCCGGCTGCAGTTAGACAGTTTAATGCCTCTTGAAGGACTGAGTGTTTTATTATTATAATTTATCAATTTATTTATTTAATTTTGTGTTTTTTTTTTAAATCATATTTTATATGTTTTTATCTTTGCTATTGGGCAGGTGAATCTCCCCTATTGGTGATTAATAAAGTATTTATCCATCTTTTCTTCTTTTAAGATCAAAGATTTTTAATACTGAGTTTAAAACTGAGATATAAGTTCCCTTTCAAAAGATTTCAACTACTACTACTGCTACAGCAGCCATACCAACTGTTTTCAAGGTTTAGAGTTGCAATAGGAACTCTAAACTTTCTGAACATTATATACAGAACTGTTACAGTAAGCTAATTTTGCATAGTTGTATCCATTTATAACACTTTCTTTTTCAAAAGACTAACTTTGTGCAAAAGACCATGGATCAGGGCTGCTAAATGTATTTAAACAATGATATGGGGCCGTTACAGAAAGGGGAAAAAATAAAGCATAAGTCTGTTTAAATAACACCACAGATGCTCAAAAAAAAAGAAATAAAAAATTACAATGCTATTAACTGTGATATGCAAAAGGTCTTATAAAAACCAATTATATGCAATTTTATTTTGTTTAGATAATGGAAATCCTGTTCCTTTGCTGTTTTCCAAAGCCATAAATAAACCACTAGCTTGCAATGTAACAAACAACAAGCAACTAATTTAAGAAAGAAACTAAACAAAACCTACTCTTCAAGTAGGGAAAAAAAGTCCTTTTAAGTTTTTAATATAGTACCAGAAAGGAAGCATGGCTCCTGGAGGTTAGAAAAATAATCAAAAAACCTTATCTTATCTTTCGTATTTTTAAAAACTTCAGTACCTACCCTATGACAAACCTAGCATTGTTGTAATAACAACAGTACAAAGCATGGATAAAGCTATCAAAGCATTTGGATTCTATTTTGGACTGAAGGAAAGAATTGCTGTCATCCTCAAATTAGAGGATCTATTAACACTATTCTGAACAATGTGACTAAATACTGAGACAATATTGCATCTTTAGCCGCAAAAGGATTGCTTTTCACTCTAATTAGACCTGTAATCAACCGGCCACTAAAACTCACCCCTGGCATGTACTCCATGAAGATTGTGAGCTTTTTCTCATTGTGGTCCCTCAAACAGCCGTAGTACTGAACGATGCGCTCGTGATGCAGATTTTTTAGAAGCTGGATTTCACACTCCAAAGCACTTACCTCCTGTAATGAAACATAAATAAGTGCAGCAATTACCCACTTTAGATTAAAACAATTATTTCAAATTAAGAATGAAGCTATGTTTATTAGATAGGAGTAATGAGCTGAAATGCAAGTTAAAAACCATAAACATTAGATAAAACATGTATTTTTGAACATGACCAAAAACTACAGCCGAGGGTCATTGGAAGTCAATAGCAGAGTTTTCCTAAAGCAGTTCCTGTGTTTACCTCTGAAAATGAGGACACAGCAGAGAATGAGGACATAAATAAAGACAAAGCCACACTAAGTAATCCCCAAGTCCCAACACAGAGGCCAGTTTGGAGAAACAACTGATTCAGATCTGCTATGAGCCGGAGGTTTAGAGCGGGCTTTGAAAGGGTGATTGGAGGTCAAGGCAGAAGTGACCCTCTATCGCCGCTATACTACTAAGCACCTCTAGGATACAGGAAGTGACAGTGCATGTTTTCTCTTCGGCAAACAGGAAAAGACATTAAAAAAGGAAGGGGGGTGGGGGGTTTACGAAGCAGCAAAGATAATCTCTACGCTGCATTCCCCTTATTAAGTCACGCATATCCATCTGCTGTACTAATTGCTATTTTAATCAAAAGATAAAATAACATTCTAGCGACAGCCAGCAAGAAAGGTTCCAGTGGGTTTCGTTTCAAATACTGTCTTTCAGCAACCACTCACCTTGCTTGTCTCAGGACTTTCAGGATCAAACTGGACTTGCTTGGCAGCCAGTTCTCTCCCAGTGTCCACATCATAGCAGAGGTAGACCTGACCGAAAGCCCCCTGGCCTAAAAGCTTCCCCCGACGCCACGTCACCGGGGCGCTGGGTGCTGGGGGAAAAGACAAATATACACACTCAGGTTTATCAAACCACACAAAAACTTTAAAATTGAATTAAATCTTCTTTTTACCTTTAACATTTTATTCGTGGCTCAAAATGACCAAAAACAGGAAACATTACAGACAAAGCTTAGGATTACTAAATTTGTTTATTTAACACAGGAAGTTAGATGTGAAATTATAGATTGTTACAGAAGTGATAAAACCTTCCCTAAATCATTAATTGTAATAGTAGATGAAATATGGTGCAAAAAGTGGCCTGTAACCAAAACATTAACAGAGTTGGCAAGCAGCCTTTGAGAAAGGCGCATTTTGCAGGAGCTAACTTTATAAGTTTTCACTCTGTCCTCTACAGTGCGCCTAGATCTTTAACAATGTAACCCATGAATACATGAAAGGAAAAAAAAGGGAAAAAAATAGGTGTCCAGACAGCACTACCAGGACATCACAACTGAAATGGATTGCCCCTGCAATAAAGACACACTTCTCAATACCTTTTACTCTACTGAGGAAATAATATTTTCTGTCAACAATTGACCTATTTTGGAATTATCTGTACTGAATAAAGGACTTTGTGATTTGTAGCAAACAAAAACAGTCTAGGGATAACAGTTCTTTGATCAAAGCAAGTAAGTAAAGAGCTTGAATCCCAGTTGAAGCTTAACTGCTTGGAGTCCACATGTTCTCATACATGGAGGTTTAAAAGGCCTCTCTAAAGTGATGCATGTATCTCTGTCCTGTGGTGAAGGCTGGACAATTTACCAATAAAACTGATTATTCATCTTTTAGTTTTATGGAGATTGAATTTTTTGAAAATGTAGTTTTTTTCCCCCCAACCAATGCCCTCCTTAGGCTGCCATAGCTCAGTTTGACATCAATTCGTCACTCTGGTTCTTAGATGTCTTCTCATAACTGATGAACCAACTCACTGTGTAATACCAGAAGCTGCAGAAATTTACTATGTTCGGTTTTTTATTTTTTTGTTATAAAGCATAATTTTTTACAGGCATGTTTCACAGCGTTAATTTCATTGCCCTATAAATTAAGGTTAACATAAAAAAGGATGAAAGTTTTTCAAGTAATGCTTTCCATTTGTAATTTTTTGAAAATAAAAATTTAAAATAAAGATAAAAGAAAAAAATAAACTGGATTTAGTAGGAAAAAAACAAAAATTACAATTGTAAACAATATTACCCAGCCCTACCTGGGCTTACCCTATTGGCACATATATATATTAACCTATAGAATATTGTAATATTGTGCAGCCCTTGTTTGGTTCTAAGAAACACACATGAAAGAGGGCATGTGTTACACCCAAGAACCAGACCAGGAGCAATAACCAATTACAACCAAGCTTTTTAGGGTGACATGAGAGTTACATCATATTATCCAACCAATGAAAAAATGGGAAACTAAAATCAACAAATCAGATCAGAGAAAAAAAATCTAAATCATGTAACTTCTTCTTGAAATATATGTATATATATTTTTGCAGATAACTCTTTCATTTCCAATACAGCGATTAATTAATGAGTCTTAGTTTTGTACAGTTTAAAATAAATACAAATCAGAAAATATGTAAATAGCTAGATCAGTCCTTACACTTGTGGGCAACAGAACGTTCATGTGGACGCAGCCTGCCTTGTAGGTCCAACTGCTGCCTGCTTCCTAGACTCTCTTCACTGCCATTAAGCGATCGTCGTGAGGGCACTAGAGTAAACAGGTTTCCCTGGGGACGACGGATGCGTGGAAATGTTCGACGACCTAGAAAATGCAACAGAATAGTTGCTTAGATTACAATATGTTTTTGAGAGGGGAAAAAAATAATATATTTAAATGAAAACATATTTCTTACCTTCACTGTGGTCTTTGTAATGCAGGGAAACATGGTACCTGCGAGGGTAGGTGCCTCCCTTTCCTGCTACCCTGTCATACACATGATTCTCCCGGTCTAAAGAGAAAATCATTTACAGGTCATCACCTTTAAGTTCAAGGTAAACGTTTAAAGCTCAAAAATGGAGTCGTTCATGTTTCAGTCCTAGTTATACCCACTAACTGTGTAGAAATTAAAAAAAAAATAAATAATGGCCAGCTGAAAATAAAGAACATCTAATGGCTTTAAAGTGGTACCATCTTTACTGATTTTAATTAGAGCACCGGCCTTTTTGTGATTGGATAAGGACTTTTCGAGCACATAATTTTTGCACTGCTAAAGATTAAACTTCAGTTTGTCTCTCACCTGATATCTCTTGCCGGTTATCTGGGTAACTCTTGGCTCTGTGCATGCGAGACTTCCTCATTGATGGGCTGTGGAAAACAAAAAAAAAGATCCTGGGATCTATGCAAAGTAAACTACCACTTATTTCAACTTTAATATTAGTAAATCAGTCAATTATTAGCGGAATTTTTTTTAGAAGAGGTATAACATTTGCAACAAACGGTATCTTTATTGGGAGCATGGGCTGCCAGGGTTACCTCTTAATCTAATATGCAGAATATCCTCATTACCTTTCTGAGTTGCTGTCCAGAGACTGACAGCTTCCAGAAACTGAATTCTCCGTACTGCTCCAGGGATCCAACACCTGCTTAGACCAAAGTGGACAAGAGAAGGACGGAAGGAAGGAAGAGCACACACATCTCACTATGGAGCTTTAAGAGAACCTATAATCAAAAGCTAAAGAACATTTCTACCAATCTGTGGATGTTTAACTTTGTATCTTTGCAAAACAAGTTTAACTGAAGTTTAAGAGACATTATGTAAGCTTTAACTGAAAAATATCTTTTTGTTTGACTCTTTATGACTAAAACATTGTTAGACGAGCACAATGACACCTCAGTAGTTCAGCACCGATGCACACCTATTGTCCTGAATGTACTTCGGGTTTAAAGTCCCCGCCCCCTTTTTGGATGTGACATCCAACATAGCCATATTAAATGGTCCAACCTAGCAAATTGAAGCGTTTTATTTAAGTTGGGCTTTTTTTTGGATAATCAGAAGCAACCGGCATCAAAGCTCAACTCAGACACCAATGGTGACTCTAGGGAAGGTGAAAAAAGTAAAATAAAAATAAAAACCCTTGTTAAGTAAGAGCACAAGCCGTGAGGGCTAGCAGAATAGTGCTGTAGCTCTGAGTTTTGGCCACAGGTGGTAGTATCATTAGAAAACTCTATGATGCCTATTTAAGGGTTTAAAGTAATACAATTATTCCTTTATTACTACATTCTGCAAGGAGGAGCTTTGAAATTGCACACATATATGCTGTAAGTAGTAGAAGTATACATGAAACAGAAAGACAGGACAGATGCTTCTTCTGTTTCCTGTTAGGCAAGCTTATTCTTGTGAAGTAATGCAATCTAGAAAGAAAGCCTTTCTTTCTCCTCAGATTACCAAGTTCTGCTTTAATGAGAGAACTCATTTAAGGCTCTAATAACAACTTGTTCATGTTATCATTTTAGAGCAGGCAGTGGATCCTGTCTTAGCATGCTTTTCTTTTTTTAAGAGATGACTCACACACTGATCGCTGGTTTCTGGGATGAACTCCCCCTCACTGTTGATGCTGGTGTAAGAACCTTGTCGGGCAATCCTCTGCTGACGCTCAGGGACGTATCCAGGAGGAGGGGAACTTCGTCCCGTGTTCTGGGAACCTTTAGTCAGACAAAAAAACAACATGTGGCATTAAGGAAAGCCTTAAACAACTTTAGTTTTTATTTTTTTTAAAAGCACACAGTAGTCATCTTTAGTTTATGTGCTAAACTAGTTTGCCAAACGGCACCAAGCACATTTATTAGCACCCTGATCAAAGATGTACAAAAATAATTTGACTAAATAAATATCTTACTGCAAAAGCTAACACTGAACACTAACACTAAATATTAGAACACTGGTTATTTAAATACATTATTAATCAAATAAATGCTTTAAACAAATCACTTTGTACAGCCCCCCCTTTTATCAATATTATACATAGTCTGTGTCTCTGACAGGTCACAAGGTTCAACTATAATGGGAGCTATTCTAAATTGTAAAAACTTTACAGATCATTTAGCTTCCTGGGTTCGTTTGTATAATTTCTTTTTATCAGCTTTCCCACTTTTTCTATAACTGAGGTCTGGAGATAAAAATATCACCGGTTAAGGTTTTTTGCCTGCATTCTTTTGAACCATTTTATGTCTTGGATTTTAAACGTTAAGATCATATAAACTAATTTTAGTATTCTAAGACTAGATACTAAAAAGAACTTGCAGGCACAATATTTTGCACACAAGCACTCAGACCTTTTGGTCATTTTTTAAAGGGGAATTGAATGGCAGTTGCTAAGGCTTGATTAAAGTCTTTTAAAGATTTTCCTAAAACACTCATTTCTTTTACGATTTTAAAGTCCAAAAAGTATTTTCTTTAAAGCCTGGAGAACTACTGCTGAAGGCTACAGTAAAGGATTTTGGTAGTTTGAACTGTTTGCACTGTAATGTAATGTATCCATGAAAACAGGTGTTTTGTTTTACTTTTCTATAAGCTTAAAAGTAAACTTTCAGCCGATTAGCCTCCATACAGAAGACTTTAAGCTTTCAAAACTTGCTGTTGTTATACAGTCAAGCTTTAAAGCCCTTCTGCTCAGGATAAAAGAAGCCGCTAAAACCAGACCACTTGCCAACGCGGTAATAGCATTCTGTAATCTTGCTGGCTGCGAGCCAGCAGGCAGTATGTGTGATTGTGGAAAGGAAAAGGAAGTGAATGTATTTCAAGAAAGGAAAGTAACAGTAAGTTCGGTAGAAAATAAAAGCAACCAGGGAACTGTTAGCGAATATGGCTATTAGGTCCTCTGGGATTAATAATCAAAAGATGTACCTGTTGATAGGTGGCGCCCTCTGGGTTCAGAGGGTTGGTACGCTGTACTAACATCTCCAGTGGAGTGGGAGGCCTTAATCCTCACCTGCTTACATGACAATTGGTGAGAGTTGGAGGACGCCTGCAGTTATAAGGAGGAAACAAACAAGGTTCTTAAAAAATGATGGAACAACTTGTGCATGTATGCAGGCATGTAGTTAAAACATCAAAATACGGAACTTTTATTTTTCACAACATTTGATTTAGACATGGAAGTTGTGCAACCATATGTTGTGAATTTATGTCCGGATTATGTATCTCACATTGCTGAGCTCTTGAGAAAGAAGCATTATCCTGATACTTTTCATACAGGAGCTTCTGTCAAGCAGGTCTACTGCCTTATCCAGGTCATCCTGACCTCGTAGAGGAATCGACATCTGTTTGGAAGAAAAAGCAAAAGGACAACGGACAACACAAGAAATTAAACCAAAGCTTACAAAGAAGTAGAACAGATTTTAAAATGCATAAATGGTTGATTTTCTTACAGAGTTAGAAAAAAAGGCATTTATTTGCATGTATATCCAAGTTCATTTAAATGTTTTTTTTTTATTCAATCACTTACTATACTTTTGCACATCAAAGTAAATAGGAGTCTTTTCTATTAGTCTTCTGTTAACCGATAGCAAAAACACATGCTTTGAGGATATCCATCAGTGGTATTACTACAGCTGACCATATTTACTTTTTATCATTTTCCCACTTGGTGTATCTAAACCTCTGACTGTAACTGCAATGTGCAATAGAGAAGCTGGTCACATAGGTTATGATATCGTAATATCTGAACTTGGAGCTGATAGACTAAAAGAAAACAAAAAAACAACTGGGACGATAATGATCTCAGAGAATACTTTGATTTTAATAAGTATTTTGAGTAATACAAATTAATTCAAAATGTTCACTCAGTTGCTGTTTTTCAATCACAGAAATTGTATGTTCTACTTTACCGATGCAACCTTAAAAAGTGTACCGTAGTTTAAAGGAGCAATAAACAATAATTCTATGTTTTAAAATGAAAAACAAGAACTAGTGATATGAAGAACTGAAAGGTCTATTTTTAGGTGGAATATAGTGTGACGTCAAACAGCATCTCTCTGTGTTGTTCTTCATTCTCATATTTACAGGCTGGGCCGGCCACATGCATGCATGTCCTTATGAATAACTGACACTCACAGCTTAAACCCTTGCGGCCCAGAGAAAGCAGCGTGGCGTATGAGCAAAATGGTGTAGAGTGCACCCAGTGGATCGAAACATTCAGCTTAAGAAAATCATTGGCCAAAATAAAGCTGCATTTGCCAAAATAACATTCTTTCCTAGACCACAACTTATTCAGTATACGTATACAGGTTCCCTCTGAATGTGATCTGTTTTGCTGTGATTTGAAACTTTGCAAATATGTGCAGATGTGTGTGTGTGTGTGTGTGTGTGTGTTGGGGGGGCTGGATTGGAGAGTATTCACTCGTCACACATCTTGTTTTGGTCTTCAGACAGTGATCAATATCCCACCGAGTGGTAAAATTTTCCTTATTTTTTTTTTTTATGTTAACTTAAATTAATATGTTACCACTGCTAATAATGACAAAAAAAAGGGAAAATGCTCAATGTAAGTTGCCTTCCCTGTCAAATTTACATCAAGCTCTCTCGTTTACAAAGAAATGCTGACAGAGACAGGACTACTGAGGAGATAAACAAAGACTGAGAGAAAAACACGGCTCAGACTTTCACCTCATTGTTCATATAATGGAGCTCAAGCTTCTGGCCAAAGATACTCTTTACTTTTTCCTGAATTTCCTCAAATTGCACAGGCCTTCCAAACACCAAGATCCTGTACAGAAAAAAAAAAAAATCATGAGAGATTTATACCAGCTGGTAGGGAAACAGTGCTTGACTTACAAGCACACATGCAAAGAAAATACACAAAAGCTGCCATTTTTTAGTGTGTTCAGATCCTTTTAAATACACCTTGCATATTTGTGGCTTGTGTTGGCAGCAGCATGCTAACCACAGTCCTTTCCCTTACCATTCTCCAGCTCACATACCTTTCAGATTAAAATGCTGGACTGCTCCTTCTCATGAACTGGAACATGTGACATAAACAGCAGCCGACGGGAGTGTGTTTTACAACCAGTGTAAACTCATGCTCTCCCTTATTTACAAATGTACATTGCTTACTATGTATGTACAGAGTCCTAACTTATAGACTTACAAATGAAAATCTAAGTAAACATACCTTTTTTCTCCCGAGTATTCAAACTTTATCCTGACATCATCCTAAAAGAAAAAGTAGGCAATACAAGGTCAGAGAGTTCTTTTTTTCCGTCAGCATTCACATGCACTCACGTCCATTCATACAGAGTACTACAGTTTATTTTGGTGACAGACGCAATTATTTTTTTGTAGAAAACATAAATCAGAAGGGCTAATAAAGCCATACAGTTAAAACTTGCTGATGTGGTTTTAATGAAACTAGACTTGAACAGATTTATTTTGTCAATTTGTATACACAAGTGTAAACAAAACAAAATTTCGTTTAGAAAAGCTCTCTAGACAATTTCATTTTTTTAAAGTGCAGCCTTGATAAGGTAAGCAGCAGTTGTTGAGCTACTACTAAACTAATAGGGGGTAACTTATAGTAACAGACCAAGATGGTGTTTTTACACACAGGCCTAATCTGCTAATTTCGGCCAGCAGTTTTTTTGTTTCGTCTTTGAACTCTGAAGTTTTAAAATGATGCAGAATGTCTTGCTTATTACCGAATAATGAACTTTAACTGAAGTAGATGACACTTGCAGTTCTTTAGACCTTGTTCAGTATCCATTTAGGAGTTGTCTATGAGCTCTTAAAGTAACTTTAGTAGGATTTCCAATGTTTTCTCCAGTTTTGCCTTAAATTAGGTTTTAACTTTGAGCTTTGTAACTTTTTTAATACCAATATAATTTTCCTAAAAGTTTAATTTAGCTTGCCCTTATTTTTGATGAGCTTCTGCACTGTGAAACTAGGACATAATAACCGCAGATACCAATAAATGCATCCTCCCTATGCAGTAGTGTCTGCTGGGGTCTTGCTCAGTAGCTGAGTTTTAGAGAGGATGCTTCCGGTGCAGACTTACAAGCAATTTCAGCAAAATAATTCTGTAACTGCAGCTACACTTTGTAGAAATTTCCTGTAACCTCCACGTAGAGATATAACCTTCACAATTTTGATGATATCTTACTAGGGTTCCAGGGCGTTAGGAAAGCATTAGTGATGCTTAGTCGTCATAATGACAATCACCAAGGCAATAAATAAACAAATAGATAACAGCATTAATCTCTCTGAAAATAATACTTCCATCTCAACAAAGTATGATTCAAAGGTTTCAGCATTAAAGCACAGTTATAGTTTTATAATGACATCACCAACTCATCAAATCCTTGTCATATCAAGTTTATCAACAAATATATTACAGGCACTGAGAGTCAATTTAAATAAATAACTGAAACTATTTAAACACTGTATTGTAGTACATATGAAATGCAATGCAAATGAAATGTTGTATATATTAATATAGTAAAAATACTGCACATTTTTATATACTTGGTATCACTGACTTTGATCATGCAGACTTATAAATTAAATCACTAACATGACGAAAGGAAGGAGACAGCCTTTATGAGCTAATGTTCTTTTAAAGGGACACTATGCAACATTTTTCAGTTAATTAATGTGTTCCATAACGTTATGGATGACTAAATGAGTCATTTCAGGTTGAACAAAGGTATTCTCGGCCGCCCTGGTGGTCTGTGGGGGAAATACTGCACTTGCAACTGCAGGAGCACCGACCCGCACCCACAGGCTCAGAAGTCTCGTGAGAGTCAGTCTTGCTTTACGGCGAGAACTGCTACACCCCCCAGTTAAAAGCATTCTCGTTGCTAGCACAGTGGCAATCTTTGTGCAGTTATGCTACGTTCACGTAGCAAAAGCAGCAAAATCGCATCTGCTGCTTCATTTTTGCTGCTTGTACCAGTTAGTACTGACGCGCGGCTGAAGCAGCTTTGCTGCTCTGGCTGCAAAAGTGTGTCTGAGGCGCGTTGGGCGGAGCTTCACTATCCTTTCTCTGCCTTGCAGCTATATTTGCTGTGATCAGTGGGAATAAAGTAGTTTTAATATGTTTTTAAGTGAGAAAATACACCTGAAAACGTAATCAGTGCAGTCAGTTCATTCAGATTATTATCCTGCCTTCAATATTTTTTCTGTCGGAGCCGCTCAGACCCCCACATACCAGGGATGCGCCGACAGTATGGATCCCTTCATCAGCAGCGGTTCACCGCGGCAGCTGGTAGGTGTTTTTCATCTAAATAATCCAAACTGCATATTCTGCCGGCAGATTTCTGCATTTTAAGTTAATTTAGGCGTCAATAAACTGTTTAAGAGCAGTGATCATCAGCGCTGTGTCTCTCTCCCTGCGTTAAACGCACCTGACGCGCTGCTGCAGCCGCTCAGACGTGCTGCGCCTGCAGCTCAAGACGCGCCGCGGGACCTTTGCATGTAAACTCGGTGCTTCTGTCGCGCCAGCTACCTCCAGTGTGAACGCAGCTTTAGTCATTCGCTGCTAAGCTCAAAACAACCGCGCCTGGCTTGACGGAGAAACCAGGAGAACAGCTGAGCATATTTACGACAGTGCACTTTTACTTTCGCCCTCTGGAGGGAGCCTCACTGGAAAATCAACACCGGTTGCATAGTGTACCTTTAAGAACATAAGTGATCATTTCACAGCGAGATAAGGATGAAATTGAGTTATGGTAAATCTGTGGAAGTTTGTTAAAATCACAGTCACTAGAGAAATAAGAGGAGACAGTCATCGACAAAGGTGCATAACTCACAAAAACTCTAAGCAGCTGCTTCATTTCTGAAAAATACAAATGAGCCACACGTGATTCGTGTAAAGATGCCTGAAACATAACTTTGAATGAGCGATTTTCTTCCCCTTTTATCACTGATGGCTGTTAAGCCAGGAGATGGCTAGATTTAAAGGGGAAAAATAACATTAGCCTCAAACTGTCTTGAATTGATGCAGCGTAGTTTAAAAATGAAAAAGAATCTACAAAATGTTTAGTCCTCTGCCTTAACAACTTCTAATCAAAATATCCAGGTAAATAAGAGGCAAATTTGACATTTTAATGACTAACCTCATGCTGAAATACATTTTTATCCCAATCAATCGTTTTAAACCTGGAAAACTCAATGGAAATGCGGTGAAAATAAAGACTCCAAACGATAATAATTGCTGCAGGAATTATCTTGATTATTCAAGTCAAAAAATAATCAAGCTAGGCTTGTTCAAAATAAATCAGTTCTTTTTAATTCTAACAATTGATGCAAAGACTGAATTGCATTTATTAGGCCAAGGTATCTTATGAATACTATATTTTCAAACTACCAAGGATTTGGTTGATTTTAGAATTAGTTTGATAACCTAAACAATATAGTTATATAAGTGATGTACTTTTTCCCCAAAAAGCATTAAATTCTGATATTTTATTTAAAAAATGTGGAATTTTGAGGATGAGTTAGATTTTTTTTACTCTAATCTCCTAATACCTTAAGTTATTTTTAACTTGATGGTGAGTACCTGTCTGTTAACCTGTGCCAGTGTCTTTGGTTTTCCGCTGTCGTAGGAAAACACCGGCTGTCGTCGAGTCATCTGAAGGGCAACCAGGTCTTTCATGATGGAGTGGAGAGCCTGCCTCTCATCTGCAGGCAGCCCAACAAAACAAACCATAAGAAACTGAGCAAGCTGGATTGCAGATCAAGCAAGTTGCTGTAAAACTCTGTTCGACTAAATGTACTTTGGCAATTCACCTAAGTTTATAGGTGAACATGTTTGCTTCCTTTACCTATAATTCCATTAAAACAATCTTAGACAAAGATTCAGAGACAGTGAAGAAGTACTCTGTGTTTGATATGCATTTTCCCATGTTTGATCTCAGAACAAGCGCCTCTTTGGCTGTGCTAACTCACTAAGAGAAAATATTTCCCTTGTGTAGCTTGGATAGACATCACAGGACTCAGGACAGCTAAGGGATCCAGACCCTGAAACCAATGCTTCGACTGACAGTGTCTGGAGCTGTACATTGCACACTCTTTGACCTGCTTAATACTTTTTCCTGCAACTGCGTGTCTGTTTTTATCTCATGCTTTGTCAAAACTATGCACTAAATGTCTGTTTCACATCAGAATTCAGAGGACTCACTCATTTTGGCAGCGTAGTGCGTGCGTGGTCCACAAAGCAGCCTTTAGACTGATGCTTCTGAAGTGCCGGACCACCCACACCCTGTAAGAGTAAATGATGAAATCAGTTAGGTTAATACCTTCAAATGATGCAAAAAGGATGTTGATTGTTGAGTCAGGCAGGATGTAACAACATGAAAAAGGGTAGAATATATTGCAAAAGTTAAAAAGTGTGCATAATGACCAAATTCTTAAACCATCAAAGATATGAAAATCAAAAGTATAAGAAGTTCATAAGCATACTTTTTTTTTTTAAATAGATGAGGATATTTCTCTTTATGTAAGAAAAAAAAAATCATGAATTTTGATGCGATTTAGAGAAACACTTTCTTTTGCTTTTGGTCATTTGCTAGTAATTTAACTAGATGGAAAAATGTATTGCATGTTTCAAAAGGAGTTTGCTGGTGCAACAACAATGCTGTATTTTTTGGGATTGGGGAATAAACACTTAAAACAAAGCAGCCGTGTGGCAACATGATCAAAAAATGCCCTGCCTTCAAAGGTTGAAGTCTCAGCCTGCTGGCTGGAGCGTTTTTGTTCACCTTTGCGTGAGCACTAGTGGAGAGCTTGTTTTCATCCAGCTTTGTCCAGCTTAGCTTTTCATAGAGCTAAAGGTAGATGAACGCCCACAAAGGGACAGAAATGTCTCAGGAAGTGATCTGGTGTTACTTAGAGAGGCTAATAAAGGCATTAACCGTGAACATGAGCAATAACTTTAATGCTGGGATCTTGTTAGGAGGTGCAGGTGGTCTTGTCAGCAGGATCCTTTATGCCCACCGAAACATGGACCCATGCCTCTAACTGTTAAAATAATGTTCTCATTGCAATGTCCTCCAAGAGGGAGGTTCCTCGCAAATATTTACAAAAAAGCAGATAAATATGTTCATTTGCATCTGCTTCCTTTAGTACCTTTCTTATTCTAGAGACAGGGGTCACATAAATCATACCGAGAGTCGCAAATGGCCCCCAGTTTTAACATTGCTGTCTTACAGGAGTGGAACCTAAGACTGTTGAAAGCAAACCAAAACATTTTGACTGAATGAAAGCTTGAGTGAATGGAACTGCGTCCAGCTCATGCTTATGAGAGAGAACGGCAATTGGAAACGGCTGACATTCAAGCTGCACTGGCAGCGCTCACTCTGGCTCAGTTCATATGAGAAGAATTCCTTTATGAGCAGATTTCTGCTATTTTTTTTTTTTTAAATCTAAACCAGGTTTAAGAAACTCTGGTTTCACAAGCAGTAAAACCATCCGTAAGCCATGTTATAAATCTACAGCAGAAGTTAACAAGGCAACATTATCAGTCCTGTTGAAGGCATCAACAGCATCATATATCAAAATTCTTCTTTTAGAGGAGGAGTTGTTTTTTTAACAGCCAACTGCAGTCATGGTAAAATTAAAAGTACAAAACTCCATAAAGTTATGTGGTTTATGAAAAGGTTTTAGGAATATTAAAATCAAACCTCCATTCTGCAAAGAACAAACTGAAAAACATATGCAAACATGAAGTGCTCTCCTACTTCCTATGGATTTCAATGAGAAGGCATTTTCTAAGCAATCAAAAGTCAAAAATTCAACAGAGAGGAAGATTATTCCCAAATGGAAATCATTCATGATAGCTTGAGATCTTCCAAGGAGGGGTGAATTTCTGAAAACTAATCCAGGTCAGACAATAGAATCCTCAGAGAAACTCCAAAAATCCAGGAGCTCCAACTCAGACAGTACAAGCCTCAGTTATCAAGTTAAATGCTATGGTTCATGACAAGATTATTAGACAAAGAATGAACAAGTAGATGGCTTGTATGGAAAGGGTTGCCAGGAGAAAGCCTCTTTGCTCTAAAAAGAATGCTGCAGCACATCTTAGACTTGGAAAAAATGAATATAAATGAGCCAAAACGATGAGAAAATGAGAGAAAAGTCAGAGAAGCCTGACTGTACTGCACTGAGCCAGGTTCTGTTAAAAACAAACAGCAAAGTATCACCAACATCTTGAAGAAACTGTTAAACAGGTTGGTTGGAGGAAGACTATTTGGGCTTATTTTGCAGCCACATGACCTGGGCACCATGCGGCCATAGAATGCATCATAAGCTCCTCCAAATATGAGACAATCTTTCCAACAGCTGAAGCTTTGCCCAAATTGGATGATCATAAAGAGCAAAAAAAAAAGGTAGCCAACAAAAATTGAATCCAAGTCAATAAAATACAAACACCTCCACCCATTTATTCCAAAAACATACGTATCCCAGACAGAGATGGTTTGACTTCTTCAGAAATACATTGAAATAATCAACTATATCATCTAAAGTAAAAGCTAAAAGGTAGTTTCACTACTTTGAGATAAAATGGTGACAATGGGACAAGCCTTCTGTAGATAAAGTCAGCAGTATCGGCACCTAAGGCACCTTACTGACTCTGTGGATTTCTGGGTAATAATCACCCACAGGAATGCCGGGTATGTCCGACTGTGGCTGGCAGAGCGTAACCGCATAGCTTTAAACTTTCTGCCACTCTCACACTACCCTGCCAGGAGTGTGAGCCAAAACCTTTCAACTCTTCCAACTTGGTATTTTAAACACTATGAAAAAAAAACATGAGCTTAATAGAGTGTGAGACTCTCACTATTTCAACTGTTGGGTAACTTGAGGTAACATTGAACCATTGTCTCTTTCTTGGCTACAGACATCAGTGAAAGCACTTCACTTTTAAAGAAACTCCTTTGTTGTACTCAAACAAAGCAAAGCCTCTTTGTCAGAAGGGACCCTCTTCTCACCCCTGTTTGAACCGACTGGAATTACCCCCCAATATGGAATTCTGGGAATTCAATTGAGAACATGACTGCTTTAGTCAGCTGTGCATGCTTTATTTTTATTGTGGCCCAATTCCAAGACATGGAGGATTTACATGGATTTTCCTTTTCCCTCACTCCTCTGTCTGCTTTTTAGAGGTGTTTAGTCTGAGGCTGTATTTTCCCAGACCCAGTCGTACCGATCTCAGGTCAGAGATGCATCTGGACTCATGGCTTTACAGAAAAATGTCCAGGCCTGGTGGCTCTGTCCTGTTTCAGGTGCACATCTGCTTTCGTTTAGAAGAAAGAACATTTAAAGTCGACCTAGACCTATTGTTGATTTTGGCATCACAAGGTTGTAAAGCAGGCTTCCACTGTTCAGTGGCTATTTATAGTTATAGTCATTAAGTGGTTAAGATGCTAAAATTAATCTATCAAAATCATTGTCGGCTGAATTAAGCTTAAGTGACAAATTCAACCACCTGCGATGCCGCTTGCACAGCTCCAGCCAATCTTCTTAGGGGGTGCACCTTCTTTGTAGCCAATCATCTTTCAAGATCTCCTTCATTTAGCCCCTGGCCTAGCTTCTCTCTCCCCCACGCAAGCGAAACTTTCACCCACCTCCACCCCATCTCCTCCCTCACTCTCACAAACTCCTCTGCTGGGGCCCGAACGTTAAAGAACTTATTTCATTCATCTTTATCTGCCTCCATCAGGCCGCTCACATCGAGTCTGGCTCTGTTAGACATTTCTGCCTGTTAAAAGAGAGTTTTCCTCTCCACCATCGCTAAATGCATGCACGGTGCAAGGCATTGCAGAGCCAATAAATCCTCGAAATCAGCTGTTTTTCCTTAGATAGAGATATTTAGAAGAAAATGATTGTGTTACCTATATAAATAAATTGAATACTGCTCTAATTGGAGCTTTTATCTGGCCTAGTGGTTAGACCGGTGCGCTCGTGCTCTGAGAATTTTCCAAGTAGCAGGTTTGATCCCCACAGCCTGCACTCTGGGTGACTGAGCAAGACCCTTAACCCCACACTGCTCCCTGGGAGCTGCACAGTGGCAGCCCACTGCTCCCCAAAGGGGATGGGTTAAATGCAGAGAGGTAATTTCTCCATTGTGAGATCAATAAAGTTCAATTTCTATTTCTTTTCTCTGTGTGTCTCTCAAGGTTGAAATAAACTCCTTCAAGGAAATTAATAGAATATAAAATGTTATTAGTTCACCGTGTTCCTTTAGAACCTCCTTCTAATACTGATTAAAGGACCAGCAAGTCTAATGAATGCTTGCCTTTAATCTGCAATATTATTGTAAAAACACTTTTAACACTTTAAAATGCTACAAATAGTTTTTGATTATTCTGTTCTTATTGAATTTATATAAAACATTATCATAACTAAGAGAGTCAACTTGAGATTTATGTACAGTTTTTATTGTTTGATGTCCATTGCCATTATTTCACCGCCCAAACTTTTCTCTTGCAACTTTACAACCACCAACTTTGCTATACGTCTTTTATAAATATATGTGACAAATACCAATTAGTGCCACAGTGAAGTGGGAGGGAAAAAAAATATGTGGTATCTTTTTTTTTTACAATCAAAAAAGGGAGAAATTATTTTGTACCATAATGCTCTGATTACCATGCACACAAACTTTAGAAGAGACGTAATTAGTAAATAGAACTTAGCTATGTATAAATGATTCTCTCTATAAATATTGCTGGTCTGTGAAGTTCTCAAAAATTGTGTTTGAGTGCTACAGTAAACAAACAACATGTGATCCAAAGGGACACATTAGAAAGGGTTGAGTATAGTTTTGTTTAGATCTTCAAAGCAAGTTTCTTTCATAAAAAGTACTTGATGTTTTGAATTTTTTAAGACTCCCACTTCCATCCATCGCTCTAAACAGATATGGAGATTATGTTTCCAGTAAACGATTAATTATGGACTGTGCAAATCCGGTTCTTATTGAAAAGTAATGAAAAGAAGATGGCCATGTGGTAGAGGATGCTTTGCTCAGATTAGCCCTAAAATAATATTTTTGGCTATGGAAAACAGTAAACCTGGATGAAACACGACTCTGAACACACCATTCCATCTGAGGTTGTGGTAGTGGCAGAATCATGCTGCGGGGATGTTTTTCTTTAGGGGTTAAATTGGAAATAGAGTTTTAGGTAAAATAAATAGAGCCCAACACATGTCTACAAGTTTCATGAAAACTCTAGACCCGAGCAGAGGTTCTCATTTTAGAAGGACAATCATCCTAAACATGAAGCCAGACCTCAACTTGAATGACTTGGAGTCAGAGGTGTCAAGTAACAAAGTACAAATACTTTGTTACTGTACTTAAGTAAACTTTTTAGGTATATATACACTTTACTCCATTACTTATTTTTCTTCCTACTTCTGACTTCTTCTCATTACATTTTTACACAAGTATCTGTACTTTCTATTCCTTAAATTTTTAAAACAAACCTTACTCATTACTCTTAGCTTCAGTTTTATGTTTATAAATATTTATTTCACATCATGTACTCCATCCAATGCAGAACATTGGCACCATCCATATCTATTGAAAACTAGTGGAATTGGATGAGTCATATAACGCAAACACTCATCAGAAATAATCAGAAGCAAGTAGATGTTCTTCAAACTGCAAACGCGAATTTTCTATGCCATGCTACAATGTTGGATTCCGAAAAAGATGTTTAAATGTCTGAAAGGTTGGACACAGGCGAGAGCGTATCAGGAGATTGAGATGGAGACCAACAGGCCTCCCTCATCCTTGGCCCTATCTCAAAGAACCGTTCGAAATAGTCAAAAAATTAAGCTTTCGATTCATATAGTGGCATCTGACTGTTTTTCTTTTTTTTAAAAGGTTACTTTATACTTTTATATTCTAAGTAGTTTTTGGAGCACATACTTTTTCACTTTTACTTGAGTAAAGAGATCAAGTTGATACTTCAACTTTTACCAGAGTGTTTTTAAACTGCATTATCTATACTTCTACTTAAGTAACAAACTAGTGTACTTTTGACACCACTGCTTGGAATGCAGCTATTTTCCAAACTAAAATGAAAAAATATGTCACTGTCTAACGGCACAAAGCTGCCAAAGACTTTTCCCCTAAGAACTTTAATCTGTAGCTACAGCTAAAGGTGTTTTTGCAAAGCACTTTTTGGAGCAGGCTATAACTACAGTACACATAAAAGTCACACTTTGAAATTCATTGATTGATGTACAAACTATAAATGTAAGTGCATCTGTACAAATGTGTGGTTTATATCTAGTTTTTTTCCCGTCAGAGGCGTAGCCAGAACATTTTTATAAGGGTGGCCAGGCAATAACCAATGAACACTGAGGGGTGGCCGAAAGTGGATAGGCGCCAGAACCTCAGGTTCAAGCCAAAGATAAAGACTAACTATATAGACGCATATATTTAAACATCCGTGCTTTCTAGATAAAAGGTATAGTGGATAAAATTCTTTCAGGTTTGAGTTCTGGGGCAAACATCTTTTCCATTGTCATTACTTACCTACTTTTGTTGATAAATATTCTGCATAAAATTGATATTTAAAAGTACAAATATCTACATAAATTGAATATTTAATACGATTTTATTAAATTAGTTATTTATCTATGATTTCACTGAAGACTCCTAGATGACTTGCAGAGAGACATTGTTTTCTCTTTACCCTATATAACATAAAATCTAGTTTTGAAAAGAGCATGATTTCTGTACTTATCTTTAATGTTACTATAATGATGTGTATAATTAACCACAGTGTTTTTGTTGTCAAGAAATTATGAATACATGAAAAAAATAGTAAGTAACACATGAAAAATTAAAATTAATATTGCACTTGAGAGTATTACTGCTGCCACCTTCTGTATTAGAGAGAAAAAAAAATGTGCCACCCCTGGCCCCCCATCTATGTTCCTAACAGAGCACTTCGCTCTCAAATCACTGGTTTACTAGTGGTTCCTAGAATTTCTAAAAATAGAATGAGAGGCAGATCTTTTAGTTATCAGGCTCCTCTCCTGTGGAACCAACTACCAGTTTTAGTCTGTGAGGCAGACACCCTGTCTACTTTTATGGCTAGGCTTACAACTTTCCTTTTTGATAAAGCTTATAGTTAGAGTGGCTCAGGTTATCCTGGGCTATCTCTATAGTTATGCTGCTATAGGCTTAGACTTCTGGAGGACATAGGGACCCCTATTTCATCATTCTGTTTCATTCCATTTCTATACTCCCACTCTCCAGAATCTGTTAGTTCAAACTCTAACGTTCTGCTCTCTCTCTGCTTTTTCCTCATAGTAGCTTTGCCTCGTCTGTTCCTGTTTGGCTGTGACTCCATCCTGGAGAGAAATATCAACTGTGCTGCTGCCATCAACACCTTTGTTTATAGATGTTGGAGATCTGCCTGTTTTTCCAGTGTAGTCCTGTTTCTCCGACTGTGACTGGCTGGATGTGCTCTCTTCATCCTCTGAGTTGGCTCAGAGCTTGTCTGCCTGGCTGTGTTTTTCATGGATGGGGCCACCTTTTACAGCTGCTTTTTGTATCTCTGCTTCGGTCTCCTCATCTGCCTCAGCAGATGGCCGCTCACACTGAACCTGGTTCTACGGGAGGTTTCTTCCTGTTAAAAGGAAGATTTTCTTCTCCACTGTTGCTTCAAGCATGGGAATTGCATTGAGTCAAAGAGTTGATGCAATCAACTGGTTTCACTTAGATAGAAAACTTTTAATCAATTTGACTGCATGATCTGGTGAACTCTAAAGTGCCCTGAGATGACATGTGTTGTGAATTGGGGCTATACAAATAAAATGAATTGAATCTAGCTCCGCCTCTGTTTCCCATGCCTAACAAAAACAAACAAACAACATAATGCAACACAGTTCTCATCGATGTCATGTGAACGCCCCACAGCCCTCACCTGTAATCTCAGGTAAAATGATCCAGATTCGTTTGTAGGGGACCCAGTCACCTGCGTCTCTCGATGGTAGAGGGATACAGTGTCCTGGAGGAGCAGACGTCCATCGACGTCCTCGGTCAGACCAAAACACCCGTGAGAGGGTGTGAGAGTGACGGCAGCATGCAGGGGATAGACACCCCCAAATATGGGGGAGGATGTTGTCCTCTTTCACAGAGTTTTAACTCACTAACAGAGTCTATAAGGGTATCTTTAAAAAAAATGTAAGATAAACACAATATCTTTCTATACAGAAAGCATTAAATCTAACTGTTCCTGCTGAGGCCGCTGCAGCCTCGGGTCTTTGGAAAACTTGAATTTCCAAAACATGATTTTTTTGGGGGGGCTTTAAGCTGAAACTTATATATATATATATAAAAGATAAAAATCTACCAAATGTGGCGTAACAGTTGCCTTTTAGCTTTTATTAAATCCATTCCTGAGCTCTCCAAAGGGAAAACTGTAGTTTCCGTGATTATAAGAGCCTGTCTTCCTGATAAAACTTCAGATTTCCCTTTTCTTTGTTGCCTAATTTTACTTCAATATATTATTGAGAACAGATAGAGAGTTCAGTATTATATATATATGTCGCCTCCTAACATAAAACACTCCAAAGGCCCTACTGGCCTAACGAACATGTAATGATAAAATATATTCAACGTGCGACGCGATAGTTTTGACTCAGTCGAGACGTTTCAGAAAAAGTAAAAGCAACCGTTAAGAACCACTAGAGGAATACTGTCTGATTATAATCCTTAAAAAGACTTCTCAAACTCTAAAATAAGAATGTTTAACAAGTCATGCTTAACCAAGGTTATAATATAACGTATTTTCCAGGGTTACTGGCGATAGAGTTAGCTAGCCCGCGACTTTTCACAACAAAAACAAACCAAGAAACGGTCTTCAACCGAATACGTCAAACTTCCTGACAGAACAAAATATCTCCACCGGAACCCGCTGCAGCTCCTGCAACAAGTCACGAAAACCCATTAGTGGTGTTGGGATCCATTGCTGACCAAAAATACGTCCACACGTTTAAAATAATCCAGAGTTGTTCTCAAAGGAATTCCTGATTGACAAACTATCCAAATTATCGCCCGTCAAGCTGCGGGGACGCGCTGTTACTCGGTAGATAGCTTTCCGCGGGAACGCGCATATTATTGGAGGGGCGGAGCTATTGTTTGACGTTTGTGAGGCATTCACAGGTAGGAGGAAAATACAAACTCTAAGTTCATATATCTATAAAAGGAGCATGGAATGCCTTGCCTCAGACAGTGGTATACCTTACATTTTTCATTTATTTCATTAAATTGGTTAAGATGAAGAAATCTCACTCTACATGTTTATTGAAATGTGCAAATTCTCCAATGTATTCTTACTGAGGACTATTTTTTAACGGTCCCCCCATCAACATTTACACATGTAATTATAAATATATATAAATAAACAAAAACAATTGTACTCATATTACTAGTTAAATCTACACAAAATTGTAGCAGAAGGGAAAGATCAGTAATGATACATTACTCAGTTTAATTTAGCTTCACTTTCCCATTTTTGATTTTTTTCAGAAAAACTGATTACCGTGTTTAACAATGCATTAGATATTTTTAGATAAAGTGATTAGAGTGAAAACACCTTTAAAAAGCAATCTGAAAGAAAAGAAAATGTTTAAGACTGTATGTCAATAAATGCTACAGAGTCTGGTTTGAAAACACAACTGATTCACTATAAATCAGTTAATAAAATTGTCCTGCTCAACTAGCAGTGCCTATGAGCTGCTTTTTTCCAAATCATTACTTTAAACACTCCAGGACACTGATTCATTAGGAAAATATAGTTAAACGCGAACCAGAAATAAAGAGGTCACAAGTTTGACACTCAAAATAAATATGAAAACTTTAAGGAGCTCAGCTATACAACTTATTGTTTTTTTGAGGAAATCGTAAACAAATATGACCATCCCTTAAAAAACAAATGACCATCGCCTAAAATAAGTTGAGCTTAAAGCAAAATGTATTATTTCAACACCAGCATTTTATTTTATTTTTTTCAAAAGCATGTAAAAAACAAAACAAAAAAGGAAATGAATAAAAAAAAGAAAATATGCACAAAACTGATTGAGTATTATGGCGGAGAAAGAGGAGGGGCGTGCTTACATTAGAAAATGTATCATAGAACAAATAACTACTAGTAATAAAGGAAAATGGGGGAAAGACTGAAAATACAGTCTTAATGTCTTTTTTTTGCTGTAAGGCCATCTTAACTCAGAGGTCAAGTCTGGAAAACAGAATACACCCTCAAAGATGCATACATTATTAATGTCTCGGTGACAACAGCAGTAGAAAATAGTCAACATGTATGTCCAGCACAAAAGGAACAGACAGATTAATCATTAAAATGTCACACTGCAATCATTCACCTGAGCCTCTTTGCACCAGTGTAAAATGTACCTTTTCTGCTTTATTAATCAAAGTATGTAGCTCAAAGAGTTTGCTGTTGTACCTTGGCAAACTGCAGAGGATAATAGAAACAGTATTCCTAAATATTGACTTCAAATCATTTGCTGTGGACATAAAGACGATGTTAAAAAGAAAAAAAAATGCTGTTATACCTTTCATTATTGAAAACATGGATAAAAATGATGAGTTAAGTTTAGAGGAAAACAACAGCCACTGGTTTGTTGAAGTGATTTTGTTACAGAGTAGATCTCTAGAATGAACAGCTTGAAAAAATAAACTGCATTAACTTTGTTTTTTGTTGGGGGGGACTTTGTTAAAAATACAATAACCTCAAGTACTTATTTCTAAGGCTTCTTTTTCTTAAAAGGTATATGGTTAGATCTAACTTTACTGCACAGCATGCTCAGTTTCACAGTAGACTTTCAGTCACAGAAACGTACTTTATGTAATTCAAGTGTCAGCAATATTCACACATTTTAGGAAATTTGATATTTCAGAGCTTTTAGAGTGAGATTGATGGAATATATAAACATGGAAACCTTGATTAACTAGGATCACTTGAGATAAAAGCAGCCGTACTTCTGCTGCACTGCAGACTGAGGCAAAATATTCAAAAAGGCTATGTTAGGTTCATAGGCAAATTACTTCCAGCGCCCTTTCACACTGAACATCAATAACAAACTTACCCCAGCAGAGGGAGCTCTGCAATGGGTTTTGCATGCAAGATTCATGTCTAGATCACAGGATCCAAACTCTCCATCAAAAGGCTGCAAAACTAGCATTTTATGATTAGGTCCACTTGCTAAACTGCTTTTTAATTATGAAACAAAGTAAAAAAAAATGTGAAGAAAAAAGGCAATAATACAAAAGTGAATCTAGTCCACCTTTTTTAGATGGAAAGAGTAATAGGAAGTGAGCACAGTGATAAAACAAGAAACCATGTCTGTACAAACTATCTAAATGTAAGAATGCCACATAATCCTAAGTACTTTAAGAAAATGTAATTGAACTTTTTCCTCACTTCCTGAAGATGTTTTCTCTCTTACCCAAAAGGCTTCATACACATCTTTATGAATTAACATAGAGTAGACTGATTCTTTTAGAATTTAGGATTAACAATCACAATCTTCACAAGACTATCAATGACTAACATGCCTCAAACAACAGAGGAGCAACATTTTCTTGTCTGTTTTTATATACAACAGACAAGGCCTCAATTTTCTTGTGTTTTTTAACATCATGTTTGGTAACTGTTTGTCTGTGCAAAGTGGGGGTACAGTAAGGTTGGGGAAAAGTCAACAATCACGAACCACGGCTCTATGTACAGATAACATACAAAACACAAGTTCAGAAATCATTTACAATTCCAACAATAAAAGCACAAAGGATCTCATCCTTTCACCTTTAGATACAGACTGCTGTGCATTCATGAAACAAAACCATTCACAACACAGGACATGATTACAGTCAAAAGGTAAGGCTATTAAGACCCAGTCATACTAACATGCAAGGATAAGACTGAGAATTGTAATTTAAAAACATGAAGGGAATGAATTGAATATCAATAAATGTAACTACAAGAATGAAAGCATGAGGTGAGCTGTTGCCAATGTGCATGGTTATTATACAGTACTCTGTACCCTGTTTGTTCCTGAACATTTGAAGCAGAAAGATTTGTCTGACAGCGTACCACTGTAATGGATGATATACATTTCTGTTGTTATATTGGTTGGAATCTACATATTTCCGTAATCATAGGGTAAAAATTGACCTGAGTGCATGCTCTATTTCAAACATTTGATGCTCTGAAACTCTTCTGAAATGCCTGAGGTTGTGATAAAATATTAAAAGATGGTGCAAATTATTATTATGAATCAAAGAAAAAAAAAAGAAAATCTAAAATACATTGTGATGCGCTCCCCATATCAGGGAAATATTTTGGTCACGATCAATTACCAATCCCACGAAGAAATTGGAAAATAAGATCTAAAAAATAAAGGTTATTGGTAAAATGTACAGTATGTCCACACATTTTGATGCTATGGGTCATTTCTAAGCTTTTTGTGCATGTGTCTGTACGGATGGCATTTTGAAAAGCATGTGAGTGTGTGGTCGAATTAACTGGGCCCCAGTATATGAGGCATGTGTTCATTGCAACATGCTGGAGGTGTTCGAAAGGACAAAAAAAAGGCAGGCGAGATCATGGTGACTTTGTTATATTATCGGACTCCTTGGAGCTCCAGAGCTCTTTGTGCTGCTTGCGTCCGAAACCCTCGTCGTAGTTCCCTTTGCTTTTAAAAAGCTGCTGGAAGTGGGGCTTGCAGTAAAACTCGCCTTGAAGAGCTGCAAAGGAGCCAAGGCTGTGGGGAAGGGAGGAATCAGAGTTACTTACCAAGCAAAGAAGCTGGAGGAAGGAATCAAATAACCATGCAAAACAAAGAAAGCTAAAGCGCATGTATTCACCTCAGTTTGGCTTTGCAGTGCTTGCAGCAGAAGCATGCTGAATGGAAAACCAGGTTGTTGGCAACCAATCTCTCCATTGGGTAGACTGTCTTCTCACATGATGCGCACACTTCTTTTTGGGTCTTGAAGCTGAAAGACTGAGCACATAAATATTTTTATTTACCGAGAGTAATTTGAGGCAGCATCTGAGGTAGCTATAGAATCTGAACCGGGTCTAAGCTGTTTTGATCAAGTTGTACTTTCAAAGTATTACTAAGCCTTCAACATGCATGTTAGACACAGTTCCAACCAAGTTATTTATTCCCCCTGATTTCCTCCTCCATTTTTGATGTGATTGTTTTATTACAGGGATATGTGCCACAGGCTTTTAAGGTAAATGTAGTTAAATCTTTACTTAAGAAACCGTCTCTTGACCCAGATGACTTGGTCGGTTATAGACGTATATCTAATCTTCCTACCTTGTCTAAAATTCTGGAGAACATAGTTGTTTTTTTGAAGGGTTTCGATCTGGTTTTAAAGCTCATCATAGCACTGAAACAGCCCTGATGAAAGTCACTAATGATATTCTCATGGCCTCAGATAATGGACTTGTATCTGTATTTGTGCTGTTAGATCTCATTGATGAATTTGATATAGTTGAACATAACATTCTTTTACAAAGGCTTGAACATATAGGAATTGGCAGAACTCTGCTAGGCGGGTTTAAGCTAACCTGGTTCTGCTGGAGGTTTCTTCCTGTTCAAAGGTAGTTTTCCTCTCCACTGTAGCTACAAGCATGCTTAGTTTGAGGGATTGCCTACAAGTAAATGAGTCAATGCTATCAGCTGGTTTCCTTAGATATAAAACTTTGAACCAATCTGACTGTATGATCTGGTGGAATTGTCTCTCTAAAGTGCCTAGAGACTAATTGTGTTGTGAATTGATGCTATAGAAATAAAATTAAATTAATGTTCTGGCAGTGACATACAGTTCATTTAAAAATTAGAAATGCTTATTGAATTTTAAATAGGTCATGTTTCAACTAAATCCTCAAATGTAGATTGTCAGTAAGTTGAAAAAAAAGCATGGTTCTCACTTTTAACAAGTAAAATGGAGT